TTATAATCAATTTCATTCATTTCATATACCATCATTATTAATACTATTTTAAACAGTTTTAAGGTTCTCTGTGTAAGGGATTATTAGAAATTGGCATTATTATCATATCAATTTTGAATCTTACAAATACAAACATGGATACAAATCTTAAGATGTATCAATTTCGGTGATCTAAATATATTTTGATATTTATTAGATAATCTTATGAATTCAATTTAGTCCATTTTATATATTTCTACTCTACGCTCACTTCTATAATTACTGTTAGAATTTGAAATTTTTGTCCTTAAGTATTATCAGAATGATGGGAATATGTATTCTTTTAATAAATATGATCTATTCACAATAAATATGATTATAATTTGAAGTTATAATAAATTAAAATTTTCTATTAACAACGAACTGATAGTTTATTAATTAGCTTTTATAAGTGTTTGCGATAGATATATATATTATATTGCAATACTATTTTTCTGTACTGCACTCTATGAAATTAAAAATAACAGATAGGATTATGATATGAATAAAGAGTTTTAAGCTCTTTAATTTTTAGTCAGAACGCCTAAATGTTGGTTTTTTCAATTTAATCATCTTCCTCAAAATAATTATAATTCCAATAAACATAAACCTGATTCTACATTTTTTTCTCATTAGAATGAAAAAGGAAGACATTTTTTCAGTTGTAACATTATCAATCAATTCTTTTCCTTTTATAAATAAATTATGGCAAATCAAATTTCCTGTTTGGATGCCAATCCTTTAAAAAGATCCAAAATAAATTAACTAAACTGGCAAAATTATAGGTCATAAAAAAACAAATTTAAAGTAGATTAATGTGACTCACTATTATATTCTATTACAAGATCTTGACTTATGAGAATTCAGGTTATGTTTTAGATGTTGAATATGTACTGGATTAAGTGATAACAGTTTAATCAACTAGAAGATTTATGCAGGATTCCTTATATTGGAAATGTTTAGACTAGCAAATAAGAATTTTGAAAATAGTTGGGGGAAAAGAGATGTATTTATTTAGTCTGATCTTGGTGGTCGAACATATCAAATAGCGTTTGCATATTAGATAAATCCATTACTTGATAATGCCCTGATTGGAATGTTATTTCATTTTAATACATGTTATATTTGAATTTGATTTGAGTGACAATTTTTTAAACAAATATTAATCAGTTAGCGAAAGAAATTGAATAGAGGTGAATTTATAAGATCATAATAAAAAAAATTATTCATTATTTTATTTAAACAGAATTTAAATCAAGTAATAGATGATTTCATAAAACAATGGAGTAAATTAAAATAACAATTTGGATTAAAATAGCAATCAAAATTAGATTTAAGTGTAAAGTGTTCCAAACCAGAATTTCTAAAGCAACTAAATATTTATTCAAACAAATTAAATAAAATCTAATTTCTAAAACAGTGGAACATTTATGCAATAAGCATATAATGGAATTAATCCAGTCGAATAGCCATAGATATATACATTTAATCAATAATTCTCTGAATTTAAAGCTTCCTCATAAGATGATATTAATAATAATTTTAAATAATTTAAATAAATCACAAATTTTGATAACCTTAATCAGTATTTGTAAACTACACAAAAAAATGATAAAGTTTAGGTTGAATAAGATTTTTTATAATAAAAAATTTCAGATGTTATTTAAGATGCAATTAAAGATTGTAATTAGTTTCAACATTGATTTTTTATGGTTATACAATTTAAGTAATTAATTTTTTTTATTTATATCAATTTATATGGATGCCTTAAAATTGGTATATCCAAAAAAAAAACCACTTATAATGAAGATATTTAAGAGTTTGATAAAACAACATCCTCACAATTAATTTATTTATTAATTATCATTATAAATTACAATAAAATTTCATGAGTTATTTAAATATTCTTTCAAAACTTATGGCAGTTTTATTTTTCAATGAACAGTCTTTTAAGTGAGAAATTAATTTCCTAACGCGATTCAATGGTAAGGATTTGTTCTTTAATTGAGGATGTTAATTACATTCTGTCTTTCAGCTAGAATAGCTTTAAAGGAATAATTTGTGGAAAGAAAGGGTTTGGGTTAGGTAAATCTTCAAATCACCCATCTATCATTATAGTAATATGGGAGGGGCTGTTACAAATTTTACTAATATAAGGATAAGATATGAGGCTTATTACGATTGATTAAATTAATGCCATTGAAAAAGTTAAAGTCACTAAAATATTATTTCTTAATTGTTAATTTAAATATATTTGTTTTTTTAAATTAAAAAAATATTCTAATTAATTAAAAAAAATTATAATCTTGGTTGAAAATCTGTTAATTTGTTAATGGTGATAATTTATGTGAAATTATCCATTAAATATCGAAACCAAATTATTTATTAAAATGTTATTTAATTTGTTTTTAAAAAATCACATATATAATCATAATTTAAGCACTAATATTTAACATATTAATATTAATAATGCAATATAAATAAAATAACATCACTACTTCTACTGTTTAATTTTACAAATATTCTTATAGACAAGACAAAAACTTCTTCATAATCATCAATATTTATATTCAAATAAATCTTAATTTTCTTTATTTAATGACTGAATCAATGAATATTTTATTTTTTATTCTTTTGTTATCCTTCCAAATTCAATTAAAATATTTAGAGTGAAATTTCACCCCTTTTATTTCCTCTTTATTCAATATCTCTAAGCAGTAAGGGCTTGTCATCTCCTGTCCAAGATAAGCTAATTTATATAAATATAAAAACTATTTGACAATATCTTTGGATCAAACTCTTCTTACCATCTATTTCTGCAAGATTGGCAATTATAAAAATACAAAAATCTAGAAATCTATTCCCAATATTAAGAAGACTATAAAAATAGAAAATATAAATACTAGTTCAACAGGCTTTATAGGATATTTTAGGCATAATCCTTCATGCATAGTTTAAGTAAAAGAATCAAAAACATATTATTACATAATAATTGATGAAATGAATAGGCTTTTAAGAAATAAATATGCTGCAATTTTAATCTAAGGAGAAGTAAAAGCAGTGCTAGAAAATCTGAAAGATCTAAAGTAAAAGGACGTTTAATAATAGACAACAATACTGAAAATAAATAACTTTTTATAGCAATAAGCAAATAAGAATGGACAATTAAATTAATTCTTAAGCAAATATTAAAAGTAAATCTTTATAGGTAATTTTTAAGTTTTAACTCGACGATTGATTTCTCAATTTTTTGTTAATTTCTTTTGATAAATACAAGCATTTCCTAAATTTTTAATAATTCTATTTCTAAGACTTCATAAGATTGTATTTTTAATAACAATATAAATTATTCTAAAATGACGTTCTTTAATGTTTCAGACTTTTTAAAATTAAATTTTATAAAGCAACCAAAAATTAAATTATCATATGAAAACTGAGCCAATGTCTTAATTAATACTTGTCTCATCGAAGACAAGACTGCGAAGACATAATTAATATAATCCCCATAATATTAGATTGAAAAATAAATTCTTCTAAAGTCTTTCTGTCTTAAATTAATAAATTACCATAAGTTATGTCCAAAATAGAGAAGTTCTAAATAGAACTTGTCCTTCTGATACGTTGATTAACGTAATTCCGGAATATAAACATATCGATCCAAGAAATCCAAATATATTTCTGATAAATAATTTTTTATTATCTGATGTAAACCCATACTACGGTATTTTTTTAATTATGCATAATTATTTTTTTCATAAAACACATAATAATAGCTCTATAATATACAATTTAAGACATGGAACATGAGATATTAATTTACTCAACGTTGAATTTATTGAAATAAAAGTGAACTTATAAAAATAAAACAAATTGGGGCATATCTAGATTATTTTAGTTTTAGTAATATGTTGTTATAGTTTTTAAAAGCTTATTCATAATTAAATTTAATTTAAAGATGAATTTTCACCAAATTATTTAAAATGATTATTTTATTTTTCCTTTCTATATTCTTGAAAATTATATTATTAATATTGTCCTGATTATAATAATTGTGTTTTCACTATAAATTAAGTTTGTTAATGTTTTAATATTAATATGTAAATTATTTAAAGATATGAGAGCTAAAATAGTAGAAAGAAGTTCATTTTCAAAACAGAAATTACACTTTATCACCAAAAAATAGTCTTTTTAAAAATACATCAGGTATTTATTTGTAGCCACTTAAAGATGAATCATATAATTACTTCTATGGCAAGTAACCATCGTAAATTAATAATCATACAACCCAACCTTTAAGACTTTTCATTTTATTTTAATTCATCAAAAAAACAAAGACCAAATAATGTGAAATCTCGGATTTTTAGTAAAATAATAATAACCCTTTTAAGAATAATAATCAAATAATAATAAATAAAAATAAATTATATTCATGAATAAAAATCGTAATTTGATTAGCATAATTAAATATTAATGTTTTACTTTAAAACACTCTCGATTAAAAATTTCCAAATAAGTAGTAGTCAGAAAGATTAATAAATCTAGAAAACATAATTTAAGAATTTTAGAATCTAATAACATTTTTTAAGTATTTAAATGGATATTCAACTTCCAATTTATCAATTGTCATAAATCTTTTCTCCACTGAATTATTTTTAAATAGATACTTTTTTTTAAATTCTTTTTCTCTCCAATTCTCTACTTTTCCTTCCAAATACCATGTTTTTTACCATCGTTATATTCACCACTACATATCACTTGATTGTACTATTATTTTATAAATGATATATAATAAGTTAAATCAAATAACCTCCACCTCTAAAATTCATTAAAATTTAAAATATCCATTAATTCAATTTAATAAGCTCCATAATTTTGTTAAAAGTAGGTCTACCACCAACTTTCTTTTCATTTTTATAATCCCCTTTATAGGTTACTTAACTTTTGCTAATTATAAACTAATTTTTTTCTATTACACATAAAAGTAATCACTTATTTCAATCCAGCTTCCAATCTAATTTCATTTCCTTCATAGTCATATGACCCACAACCACTATTGATATTAATGAAATACTTACACCAATTAATTTTTTCCGGCTTAATGATTATAGATCTCCCATTTGCCGATTTTTTCCCCTTACTTATATTCACCTGCATTAGTAATTTATCTCCAACTACAATTATAATTATTTAAATAGTAAAATTTACCAAAAAAACATGTCACTATCCTCAATCCATTTACCAACTTTTTATCCAATTCCTTATTGTTCTTCATAATCTCCACCACCACCAATAATTATATTAGAAATTAATAATAATATTCTAAATCTTTTTATTGATTCCTTAAAAATTCCAAAAAATTTCCCAATTATCAATTTTTTATCCATTTCTATAATCGCCCAAATATGTAAAATTAAATATTATCAAATCAGCACTTACTAATCAAAAAATTCGCTTAAATCAATCCATTTTCCAATCTTCTTTTCACCCTTTTCAAAATCTTCATATGATCCTCCTTCACTAAGAATTTTATAAGGAAAAATATAATAGTTTTATATTTTACATTTATTAGACATCAGAAAGAATGTTCCATGCACCAACCTTTATCCTATTGTTATATTCACCAAAATATAAAACTTAATTTTCTCTATAATAAGTTTTGTGTCTATTACTTCCAAAATGTATCGCTCAAATCTACCCATTTTCCAATTTTTTTTCCAAAATCATTTTACTAACCACCACCACTAAATATATAAAACAGTATAAATACATCTCTATATCTTAAATGAAATAAGCCAATTTTCCTCTTCTCTGTCTTTTGTTGTAATCTCCAATCTCATATGCTTGTGCTTCACTATAAATTAAAAATATATATAAATTACTCAAATCTTTCCAAAAATCCTTACTTTTATCCCTTTTCAGAGGAATTATTTTTTCATTAAAAAATTTATTTATTTTTCTATACTAACCACCTACATCCTTTAGAAGTTATTCCTTCCTTTAAGCACTCCATAGACCAACTTTCTTATTTTACTCTCCATAATTCCCTATCCATTAAAGATGCTTGACTTATTCTAAATTTTTTATTATATCTATCTCTAAATAATTAACTTTAGTTAGTAATCTTCCATTCTTAAAATCTACCCATTAGCAATATATATAATTTTCTGATTTAGAGTATATTTAATTTAGAAGTTTGTTTAATCTGTAGAAATTTGTATCCCATTTGAAACCTTAATATTCTTCAATGACTTTTTGAATATCTTAATATTCAGTTATTTTCTCTTTTTTTAAACTATTTATTTAAATAAGTGTTTTACCTTATATTTTTTAATCCTCTTCAATTTATTTTTGCTAATCGTGGCTAAAATTGATTTTTAATCTTTAATTATAATACCAGATTTAATTTGAAAAGCATCTTATTTACTTTTGGAAGAACTGCACAATGTAGAATGATATCTACTTGCACTATATAAATATTTAAGTATTAAAACATCAAAAAATAAAAATCGATAAATATTATGGACATATCAAAATTTTTTCTGATCTACTCGCTAAATCTAAAGTAGTTCTTGTTATTCCATAAATAAATTTTCCAGAATGCCTTAAAATATAGTTAGTAAAGTAATACAAAATAGAAACGATAAATAAATATTATGCCACATGTTATTTATTTTAAAAATTAAGAGTGTCAAGATTAAAGATCAGTCAAAAGCTGTATTAAGAAAAAAGACTTTTTACGAAATTCTCTTAATTTATGTTTGAATTTAAAACATCATTTTTTAACTTCTGGTGCCATATAATTAGGAGTTCCAACTTCACTACTTCAACTTAATTATAATTTTCTAACTCTCATCTAAGAATTCCATTTACTTCATATTGTCTTTGAAATTATATTAAGCGTATTCCATAACGAAAAATGGTCTGCTAGTCTTATGTGCATGTCAGCAAGACCAAACCCTGAATGCTTAATAATGAAAATATATTGAATTTTTGTTTATTAAATTGATGGAATGATAGAATTTGAATAAATAAAATAAATAATGTCATAGTTTTGTTAATACGAAGATCATGAGGAAAGTCCAATAATTGGGGCATGTTTAAAAGTTGATTGTTAATATTCAAGATCTTATTGTCATCTATGTATAATAAAACATCATATTTAACATTCTGATGATCTAAAGACATTTAAATAATTAAATGAATGGACAAAGTTGTAAATGAAAACCTAAGAAGACTTAAAAACATTTTTAAATAAAATAATCTAATTAAGTGAAGGATTATCTAAGTTTTTAGTTTCAATCAATGTAAATTAATAAATAGATTTTTCCTAAGTATCCTAACAAATTATGAAAGATCTAATTAACAAATTAATCATAATTTAAATATCAAAACTTTCATTAATTCCTCTAATATAAAAATTATCTAATGATTTAAGTAATTTAAAAATAGAGATTAACAAAATTAATTAAACTCAATTTAATAATGCTGAAAGTATCAAAATTATTCAATTTAAAGAATAAGATATATAAGAAGATCAACAAATTAAATAATACATCAATTAAATCAAATAATAATAAGATTTAATATAAGTTTAAAAAGAAGAAATTAAACAAATGAAATAACTCAAATAAGAGTTGGAATAATTAAATTAAAAAATAGAAAAATTAAAATTAGAAAATTAAAAATTAAAGGATTAAATAGAATAATAATCAAACTAATTATATTTTTTTTAATAATAACAGTAACAATATTACCCTAAAAAAACAAATTTATCTACACCATTTTTATCATCTCGAAATTCATCATATTAAAAAGTTTCATTTAAATTTTAAGGAAAGCTAGGTATTCGAATTGAAAATGATGGAAAGAGAGCACAAGACAAAGGAAGTTTTTTGACTTCAGGTTTTGTTATCTGTGAGCCTAGCATTCCATTTAATCAAAATGTAAAACTTGCCTTTCTAATTATATAAAACTATTATAATATTTAATTAGGTATCTGTTCAAAGGATAAATATGGAGAAATGAATAGCAAATATATGACTGATGATTTAGCATCCTTACAATTTTATGATAATGATACTATTGTAATTGACATAAGAATGAAGGAGAAAAAATTAGTATTTAAAAAGTTAAGATCATCATAACATAGAGTAAATAAATAACATAATAATTTAGGAAATCAAAATTGACACTTCACAAGTTTTATATCCTTGTGTTTATTTAGGTAGTTCTTCTATTATTGAAATAGTTGATTATAATTGAATAACATTATTTGAATAATTATGCAATTTGCTATAAATATAGATGGGTTTGGTCAGGAGGGAGGGGTTGGGTTTGGTAAAGTCTACATATAATTATACAAATAATTATATTCTACGTACGGTTGGGGCTCCGTACAAAGTGTCTTCGTAAGCTTTTTTTGAAAAGCTTATGT